AGAGAGAGGCCGCAAGAGCAGCAGCGCGAGAGCGCAGAGAGAGGCCTGCACGCGACGCGCACATTGAGAGATGTACGTGGTGCGAGGCTGCGAGAGCAGCGGAATGACGTGCACATCGAGAGATGCGCGCAGTTCACACCCAGCGAGAGAGAGGCTGCAAGAGCAGCGGCGCGGGAGCGCAGAGAGGGCGAGAGGCTGCACGCGACATGCACATCGAGAGATGTGCGCGGTGCGAGGTTGCGAGAGCAGCGGCATGATGTGCACATCGAGAGATGTGCGCAGGTCACACCCAGCGAGAGAGAGAGGCTGCACGCGATGCGCACATCAAGAGATGTACGCGGTGCGGGGCTGCAAGAGCAGCGGCATGATGTGCACATCGAGAGATGTGCGCATTTCACGCCCAACAAAAGAGAGAGGCTGCGAGAGCAGCGGCGCGAGAGCGCAGAGAGAGGCGATGCACACGTCGAGACTCGACGCGTGCGATACGCAGAGAGCGAGAGGCCGCGTGCGAGGCGCACATCGAAAGATGTACGTGGTGCGAGGCTGCGAGGCAGCGGCATGATGTGCGCATCGAGAGATGCACGCATTGCACACTCGGCGGGAGAGAGAGGCTGCGAGAGAAGCGGCGCGAGAGGCCGCGAAGCCCGCATCGAAAGATGCTAGTGAAGGGCACAGAGGCGATGCATGCGTCGAGACTCGACACGTGCGATGCACAGAGAGAGAGGGATAGACCGAGATGCGGTGGCGCATTATGCAGAGGGACAAAGGTGTGATCCGCGGATAGGAGGGTCGTGGCGCGCGAAGGCAAAGGAATCAATAGGACCGAAGATTGTGTTTTTGCGAGCAAAGATTCAACGGTAGAAAGGGATAAAGTTGTACATTGGAATCCGACGTTTGGTGGTGTATCTTCCGGTAGATACTAAGGTGCAGTTTACGCGTGGTGTAACCCGGGAGCTTGATGGCGATGGAGGAGAGGGGCTAGTTGGGATCGACAGGTGGACATAACACCACGAGAGCATTATGCGGTGTGCCGCTGTTCGTAGTAGTCCAGACTGGATAACGACTCCTTGAGAACCTTGTTGCGCCACTCGAGCTCCACGGGGTATCAAATTATATCAAACATGGAAGAGAAAGCATCGCAAGAGAAGGACAGAGGGTTGACGGGGTCCGCGCCGACGGGGGTATCGACGTGAGGCTTTCCCTACAACCTTAGGCGTTGACAGTGCGCGCGGTGACGGCGGTTCCGGTCGTACTGGGAGATGTGGTGATAGTGTTGCTTGGGAAGGCGCGGGGATGCGGCACAAGTGGATATCAGGGGCGGAGGCGCGTGCAGCAGCGTAGGCGCGTGCATCGGCAATGACAGTTCGGTTTCATCCTTTTTCCTCGCATTCTCCGCGTTAACCTCGCCCAGTTCGAAGGTGGAAGGCGCTGGGATGTCGGCAGGACGTGTCGAATATGTTTCGGTGTAAAAGTCCGCAGGAAGCAAAGAAGGGAGTCCTGGACACGATGCTGGAGCCATGGTGTCAAAACGAAAGAAAAAGGAACAAAAGTGGAGGACGAGGAGGATGACTGGAGTCGACAAGGACGATGGCAGGATGAAAGCTGAGAGGTGGCTGTGTAGATAAGATTGACATGATCTAATCTACACAGTGAGACCGTGAGGGAGTCCTGCACCTACTCTCACTTCCTTGCCTATCACTCAGGCAGGCTCGCAGGCTCACCTTGCCTGAGCTAGCAAATGGGAAACACAAAAAATTAAAGGTTACCAATGGTATTCATTACACCTGCAGAAGATTTGAACCTCCACCTTCTCAGTATCAGACTGAACGAATCATTGCGAGGAGATGATCTAGCATTGATCTATGCAAGCTTGGTGAGTCCTGGTGATTTGCAATTATCCCACAAGAGCAGGACTCGTTAAAATGTTTGTTCCGGCACAGTAATAGTGAGTACTCTTGAATGAGCTTTCGACTAGTGCTGCTGTTCACCAATTGAGCTCTGAGTCGAGCTCTAAGAACAGAAAAGAAACACAAAAGAGCAGAGCTCATTCCAAATGCCCGCAGGAGGATTTGAACCTCCATTTCCTCATGCACTGCATTCAAGGACCTCCTAGACTCAGCCTGAGTTCAGGGGCCTACATGAACCTACATGGACCTACACTCAGACCCACCTACGTAGAGTCTGTGTAGGTTTATGCAGGTCTGTGTAGGTCTGCGTAGCTCAGTCAAGGTCAGCTAAGGTGAATGTAGGTGAATGTAGGTCAATGTAGTGACCTATGCAAGGTGAATGTAGGCGAACGTAGGTTTACATAGTGACCTATGCCGAGAGCAGTGTACTAGCAGTATATCCAATTACTATCTCCAATGAACTCACTGTGCTATTTTGCTTGAGATCAATAAAGGTGGGCATAGGTGATCCATATCACCTACGCCGACCTACGTCGATCTAGATATACCCAGTTCAGATCAGTTATGTACACCTACGCAGAGCTACGTGCACCTTTATTGATCTCCGTCAAGGTGGACACAGGTGATCTACACTGACCTATTGTAGCCGACTACACCGACCTACCTACACCTACGTGCACCTTTATTGACCCAGCGTAGGTGCCCCTTGAATGCAGTGAATATTGCCAACATGGACAGCTGCAGATGTGAAGCTTGGGAGGTGATCTAACATTGATTTATGCGGGTGCTCCGATGTGTGGTTCCAGATCGCTGCCTACGACTAGGAATCAGGACAGTGAGACATAATACAGAGCTAAAAAAAATAATTCGATCCGCTCCTCGATATGCCCGCAGGAGGATTCGAACCTCCGTCTTCTCGATAGCAGACTAGATGAAATCATATTGCAGAGAGATGATCTAGCATTGATCTATGCGGGCTTGGTGAGTAGTATACTGGTGGTTTGGAATGATGCCACGAGCTGGTAAGAGGGGACACACTTTCAGCCGCAGGGCACGGCATTGAACAGGCAATAACAGTTTGCTCACTGCCCGCTAAAGTACAGACCCAGGGATTGTTCAGTTGCGAGGCTCTTACAAAAAACCAAACACTGGTAAAAAACCAAGGACAAATGCCAAAAAAAAGAGATAATTGACACCCTATGCCCGCAGGAGGATTCAAACCTCCGTCTTCTCGGTATCAGGCTGAACATACGCGCCAACAATATTGTGAAGAGACGATCTAGTGTTGATCTATGCGGGCTTGGTGAGTGGTGATGGTTTGGAAAGTGGACTTGTTAAAATGTGTTTGTTTGGGGCACAGTGATAGATAGCAAGAAACTCTTGCTTTCGAGAAAGGGCTGGTGTTGTTCACCAATTGGGCTCCGAGTCGAGTTCAGGTGTGTAGGGATACTTGGGAGTGAGCTCTAAGAACGGAAAAGAAATACAAAAAAAATAAAGCTTGTCAATCGGACATGCCCGCAAAAGGATTCGAACCTCCGTCTTCTCAGTATCAGGTTGAATGAATGCAGACCACATTGTGGAGAGACGATCTAGCATTGATCTATACAGGCTTGCAATTGAGTACTGGTAGTTTGGAATTATCCCACAAGAGCAGGACTCATTAAAATGTGTTTGTTTGAGGCACAGTGATAGTTGAGCTTTCGACTCGGAATTAGGATTGAGCTCCGAGTCGAGTTCAGTGTGTAGGGAGGCTTGGGAGTGAGCTCAAAGAATGGAAAAGAAACACAAAAGAGCAGAGCTCATTCCAAATGCCCGCAGGAGGATTCAAACCTCCATTTCCTCATTGCCAACATGGACAGCTGCAGATGTGAAGCTTGGGAGGTGATCTAACATTGATCTATACGGGTGTTCCGATGTGGTTCAGGATCCGCAACTAGTAATCACGAGACTGAGACATAATACAGAGCCAAAACGATGGCAGTTGTAAAAACTACATATTATATAATCACGTTGGTGTGCAGACAAGAAAGAACCGAAACGAGAGGAACTATGTACTAGTTTCACTCTAGCTCCGGTCGATCGTCTCATGCAGCAAAAAAGGACGATGCAAGAGAGAAATGCCCGCAGGAGGATTTGAACCTCCACCTTCTCGGCATCAGGCTGAACCAGTACAATGTATTGTGGAGAGATGATCTAGCATTGATCTATGCGAGCTTGGTGGGTGGTGGTGGTTTGGAATTATCCCACAAGGCTAAGAGCAGGTGAGAGTGGATTCGTCAAAATGTTTGTTTAGGAGCAGTGATAGTTGAACTTTCGACTCAGAAGGGCTGTTGTTGGTAGCCAAATCGAGTTCAGGGTGTGTAGGGAGGCTTGGGAGTGAGCTCTAAGAATGACACAAAAAGTCACGGTTCACCAACCCTTATGCCCCCAGGAGGACTTGAACCTCCATCTTCTCAGGAACGGATGCACCCATCATAATGTGAAGAGATGATCTAGCACTGATCTATGCGGGCTTGGTGTGTACTGGTGGTTTGGAATTATGCCACGAGCTGGTAGGAGGAGACACATTTTCAAACCACAATGGCAGCCAGAGGGCGCGGGGTTTGATCGCTGCCCGCTGAATACAGACCCAGGGATTGCAATTGTTGCGGAATCTATGAGGCTCCCACAAAAAGCAAACACTGGTAAAAATCAAGGACAGGTGCAAAATGACAAAATGACATTCTCTTTCCCATGGGAAAGAGAATGTCATTTTGTTCCTGCGGGCATGCCCGCAGGAGGATTCGAACCTCCGTCTTCTCAGTATCGATTGATTGCAACCACAGTATTGGGAAGAGATGACCTAGCGTTGATCTATACGGGCTTGCAATTGGGAGTACTGGTGGTCTGGAATTATCCCACAAGGCTAAGAGCAGGTGAGTGAACTCATTAAAAGGTTTGTTTGAGGCACGGTGATAGCGAGAACCTCTTGCTTTCAACTCGAAATGGTTGGTGTCGGTCACCAAATCAAGTTCAGGGTGTGTAGGGGGCTTGAGAGTGAGCTCTGTGTGACTGGAAAAGAAACACAAACAAAAAAATGAAGTTCATCCCGTATGCCCGCAGGAGGATTTGAACCTCCGTCTTCTCGGTATCAGCTCAATGAGATGATATTGTGGAGAGATGATCTAGCATTGATCTATGCGGGCTTGGTGGGTGCTGTGGTCTGAAATTAAGTATCCCACAAGAGCAGGACCGTTAAAATGTGTTTGTTTGAGGCACAGTGATAGCGAGGAACTCTTGAATGAGCTTTCGACATGGAATTAGGGCTGGTGTTGTTAGTCAAGTAGAGTTCAGTGTGTAGGGACGCTTAAGAGTGAACTCTGGGAACGGAAAAGAAACACAAAAAAATTAAAAACACTCATCCCACATACCCGCAGAAGGATTCGAACCTCCGTCTTCTCGGTATCAGGCTGAATGGATGCAGGCGCCATTGCGAAGAGACAATCTAGCATTGATCTATACGGGCTTTGTGAGTGCTGGTGGTTTGGAATTATGCCACGAGCTGGTAGGAGGAGACACATTTCAAACCACAATAGTAGCCATAGGGCACACACGGGGTTTGATCACTGCCCGCGGAAGTACAGACCCAGGGGCCAGGTGTTGTTACGGAATCTATAACACTCTTATAATTGCAAGAACCAAACAGTGGCGAAAATCAAGGACAAGTGTAAAAAAACAGAATTATTCCTGGCTCATGCCCGCAGGAGGATTCGAACCTCCGCCTTCTCAGTATCGGAATGAATGTACGCGCCAATCATGGAGAGATGATCTAGCACTGATCTATGTAGGCTTGGTGAGTACTGGTGATTCGGAATTATACCACGAGCTGGTAGGACTCCAGGAGGGGCACATTTTCAGCCATAAGGCGCAGGGTTTAATAGCTGGCAGGCGACAGGGTTTGATCACTGCCCGCTAAAGTACAGACCCATGAATCTATAAGGCTTTGACGAAAACCAAGGACAGGTGTAAAAGAAAGAAAAATGGATAGCCTTGTCCATGCCCGCAGGAGGATTCGAACCTCCATTTCCTCATTGTCAACATGGACAGACGTAAAGTTCAGAGGTGATCTAACATTGATCTATGCAGGTGTTCCGATGTGTGGTTCAGGATCCGCTACCTGCCGCTATGTAGTCATCACAAGAGTGCGGCAAAATTCGAAGCTGGTAGGAGGGGACTCGTCCGGGGTTTAATATTTAATGCCTGCCAGTTGGTGGTACAGACTCCGTAGAGATTGTTAACGTGTTTCCGAATCGTGTGTGAGCCGGGGAGGACTGGACGGGAGGTCTTCGCAGAGCTTGATCAGGTTATAGTGACCAGATAAGAGGCGAATGCGAGCGGTGGGCGCGAAGGATGTCAAGTTGAAAAACCCAAAACAAGGATAAGACTCAGGATAAAATTGATCAGCGCGGTCCCTTTCGGAACATGCTGAGTTGTAGCAACAGTACATCCAGCCTCTAGAGACGTACTACCACTACACCACAATCCGCTTGCCTCCGATGAATTCACCGCTTTTAAGGTGCTCTGTCTCGGGCCCGTGAACCATGGCAAAATATAATACTCACTGGCTGTTACCCAATTCTCCCCGTTAAAAACCCTCTGGCCAATTTAACGGCTTCTCACTGAATATTTGGAACACTTGATGAGCAAACTTCGCGACCTGACACACGGTGGAACGATTGAAGATCAATGCCTTCAGCACTGCTGTTGCCGTCTCCGGTGATACAACCAAAACACCGGGCACCTGTCCACTCGCAACCAGCGAGAATGAAGACCGTCTCGTGCGCAGCAATTCAGGACCTTCGCAAAAGAACAGCGTATGCTCCACTGTCTCGACTTTTCCACACCCAAATCTACACCGACACAGTGCGCGCGGGACTATAGTCGCGTGATATCGTGTCTTGTATCGCAAGCGTTCGACAGCCAAAGGATGTGTGCCCAAAAAACTGCAATCAGAATTATGTACCTAAAAATAACTGCAGTCATCAACCATTCCCGCAGGAGGATTCGAACCTCCGTCTCCTGTATACAAACTTGAACGAGCAAATCACTTAAAGCTGGACAGGTGATCTCGTTGATCTATGCAGGTGTTCAGGGGATGGATATGATTCCCTGCCGAGAGGGAAAGCAATTAAGTGACTGTGTGTGGTAGTGTGCAGATGAGAAAGATCTAGAACTAAGGTTAATGGAAACAACTGATGATGGAGCTGGAGATGGGGTGTTTAGAGCCTGGATGCAGGGAGTGGCATGTACCGCAATGGAACTTATGCGAAAAAGAAAGGGCTTGCAAGAGGACAAGCTTTTTTTTGTTTGAAAAAACAACACTGATCTACCCATGCCCGCAGGGGGATTCGAACCTCCGTCTCCTACGTAGAGCTTTATCACCAGCTAAATTTGGAAGGCGATCTAGCCACTGATCTATGCAGGCATGAGAACTGTGGCACGCACTGAGAGTGGAGAGGCTTCAGCTAAAATTTGCGGAAAATACAATAGTCACGTCGTGTGTGAGTGCAGACGAGAAAGAATTGACGACTGTCAAAAGGAAGTACTAGTATTGATATTGCTCGATTGCTCGTCAAGGCGCAGACAAAGATCGATACACGCGCTGAGAGTAGAGAGGCTTCAACTAAAATTTGCCGAAAATACAATAGTCACGTCGGTGTGTGAGTGCGGACGAGAAAGAACGACTGTCAAAAGGAACTACTAGTATTGCTCGATCGTTCTCATCGAGAAGAAAAAGGTCGACATAAGGTGTTCATGCCCGCAGGAGGAGTCGAACCTCCGTCTCCTGTATACAAACTCAAAGAGCAACATGTCGAAGGTGGACTGATGATCTGCGTTGATCTATGCGGGCTTTCGAAAGGATGGTTCTAAATCCCGTACCTAGAGCCAAAAGCAATTAAATTTAAATGACTTGTGTGGTAGTGTGCAGATGAGAAAGATCTAGAACTAAAGTTAATGCAGACAACTGATGATGGAGCTGGAGATGGGGTGTTTAGAGCCTGGATGCAGGGAGTGGCATGTACCGCAATGGAACTTATGCGAAAAAGCCAGGGCTTGCAAGAGGACAATTATTTATTTATTTATTTTAAAAAAAAACAACACTGATCTACCCATGCCCACAGGAGGATTCGAACCTCCGTCTCCTGCATAATATGCGAATATCAAATTTCCTAACTTTAGAAGGCGATCTAACCACTGATCCATGCGGGCGTGCCACGCACTGAGAGTAGAAACACTTCTGGCCAAAATTGCCAAAAATGCAATATCTATTGAACCTCGTCTGGTGCGTCGATCTAGGACGAAATCGCAGGATTCGAATGCGTACATCGGTGACGTTCCTGCGGGAAAGCGGTCTAACCGAGGATTCACCGCGTAGGCGCGAAGGAGTTGAATAATTGTGTCGTATGCATACCTCCGTCGCGAGCTCCAATGTGCGAAGAAAAGCCTGAGGGCAAGCGATAATCTACACTGGCGTTGCTGTAAACTTGCCGTGAACGGCACTTGACTACCCCAGGGTCAGATAACAAACATGCCCCCACTTTTAACCCCGCGACTCGTTACCAATTGAGTAACAAAAACCGCCGTGCAGTGCTGTTACCGTTTCCAGCGCCCGCAGATAGCAGTTACCCCGCGGACTGCGCATGTCGATGTACGTGGCGGGATAGAAGATGGAGGAACAAATCGCGGATAGGAGATGGCCGGGTTGAGTCATCTTGGCTGCCGTGGCTTGCGCGGCGAGTTGCCACAATTTGTCAGCATCCGCATTGGGCGGGAACACAACAGCAAATAATTTCTCGTCTTCCTTCCTACCACCACAACAAGGTCTCACTTCAAACTCAACAAAGCAAAGTTACGCATAGAGAGCGCAATATGCAGGTGGACTCGCCAATGAGCCAGCAATCGCTGTTCGGGTCGGGTGGAGGGGGATACACCGACTACCAGGACCTCGACAACATCTTCCACACAGAGCTCTTCTCTCTGCCCTCGTCGGGGGGCTCACCCTCCTCGTCCTCGTCCCACGACCTCCACTCCTCCTCCTCCGGCAGTCGCGAAAGCACGCCTCACCTCCTCACGCCCCCGCAGCCTGCCCCCGCGCATAGCTTCCCCGACATCGGCGTGCGCGACGGCAGCCCCACCCCGTCCTTCTTCAACTTTCTCGACGAGGACGTAAAGACCCTCGACCCCCTCGCCATGCTCTCCAGCGCCCCGTACGACTTTTTCGGCACCTCCTCATTCGGCGGCGCCTCCACCGCCAACGCCCTCAGCGCATTCAGCGCGGGCGGGAGCATGGACAGCGAGATGAGCGCGATGCTCGGCATCGACCCGCAGCTCGTCGGGTCGCCCGCGGCACAGCCTTACGCCGACTTTGAGTCATCCCCTTCCTCCTCTTCCTCACAAACAAACTCCACCTCGCCCAATTCCGACTCCACCTCCCCCACGTCGCCCGAGCCGGTGATAGCGCCGGTCAAAGTCGGCGGGCACGGCAAGGCGCGCAAGGGCACCGTCGTCTCGGGGGGCATCAAGAAGGCCTCTTCGTCTGCGCACGCGCACCCGCCCGCTGCCTCCACCTCGGCGGCGAAGGAAAACACCGCCACGGCCGCGTCCAACATGTTCATGCCCGCCACGCCGTTCAAGCCGCGTGCGAGTGCGAGTAACAAAGGCGGCGACGACGACGAGGACGACGACGATTTGCCGGCGGACTGGCGCCCGCCGCCGGAGGTGTTCCAGAAGATGAGCAGCAAGGAGAAGAGGCAGCTACGGAATAAGATTAGTGCGAGGAATTTTAGGGTGCGGAGGAAGGGTGGGTGTCGTTTTGTCTTCTCTTCTCTTTGGCGTCTACACATATACTGATAACGTTTTCGTTTTTGCAGAATACATATCGACACTCGAGGACAACATCGCCGAGCGCGACCGCCTCCTCTCCGCTATCCGCTCCGAGCTGGGCTCGACGCAGTCCGAGAACCTCGCGCTCCGACAGGAGATCGCGACCCTCAAAAGGACGTTGCTCGAAGGTCGGGGCCCGGCGCCCGTGTTACCCCCGCCCGCCGCCCTCCCCGCCTCCCCCTCCCTCGCCTCTCTCTCGTCTCCCTCCTCTTCCTCTACCTCCTCCGCCTCCAACTCCAACAACGCGACTTCGAGCGCAGCTGGCCCAAGCACCCTCGCGAAAGAGCTCGCCGCCGCACACACCCTCAAGGACGTCTCCTCCTCGTCTGCGACGGCGCGTTTCTGGCAGGGGACGGGCGGGCTGGGGATGGGGGGGTACACGAGCGTGCATACGGCACGGATACCGGAGCTGCAGCTGTTTGGGGCGAGTCCGTTTGCGGCGAGTGTGTTTGCGAGCGAGGTGGGTGGTTTGGCTTCTTTACTTCTTTACTTTGCATTATTCCTTTGTACGAACGCTCGCTAACCTCTCCTTCCCTCCCTTTTAGTCGACGCCCGCGCAAGCGCAGGCACAACAGCAAGAGAACCTCAACCCCCTGCTCAACATCGCGCCCTCGGCCAAGGTCACCGAGGTCGTGCGCGCGGGATTGGGGCTTGGCGCCGGCACGGGTGCGCCCGGGGCGAATGCCAGTGGGGGTGGGGAGGCGTGGGGGGACGCGAACCCGTTTACGGTGCGGAGTTTGGATGCGTGAGTAGCCTTCCTTACCCTCGCTCCCTTTCTTTGTCGCTAACGCGACTCGTTGCAGGTACCGCATGCACCTCTGGGGCCGCATGGCCGCGCAGTACCGGCACAACAAGGAGCATACCCCCTCCTCTTCCTCCGCCGTGGGGAGCGGGAGCGGGAACAACGCCAACCCCTTCGCGAGCGCGCACCACAACGGGAGCGCGTCGCCGTTCAGCAACGGCTCGCCCCATGGGCACGCGAGTGCGTTTGCGCCGTCGCCGTTCTTCAATCCCAACGCCTCTGCCTCTGCGAACAACAACAACTCCAACTCGTACAACAACAACAACAACGCGTACGCGAGCGCGAACACGCACTCGCCGCCGCATTCGCCGCCGTTCCCGCTGTCGGGGCTGGCGGGGGGCTTGCGGCCGAAATACTTTGCGAGTCCGTTGGCGGGGGCGTTTTATGCTGGGCATTCGACGTCTACGTCGTCTTCTACCTCCCCTTCGTCCTCCTCCTCGTCTTCGTACAACGGCAACTCAAGTGGGAGCGGGAACGACAAGCCGACGGCGACGGCGTCGTCGCTGGCTGCGAGCCTCGCGGGGCTGTCGTTGTCGGGGATTACGGGCAAGGGTGCGGGGCTGGAGCAGGCGCAAAGACAGCAGCAGCGCGAGAGGGAGAGGGAGAAGGAGCGCGAGAAGGAGAGGGAGCGGGAGACGGCGATGTATGCGGCGCTGGCGAGCCAGACGCTGCTGCGGAGGCTTGGGGGCGCGTTTTGGGAGGCGTTTTCGGGGGCGGATTCGTCCTCGTCTTCTTCCTCCAAGTCGTTGGGAGGGGCAGGGGCTGGGGCGAGTGGGAAGGGATGGGACGCGGAGAAAGTAAGGAAGGTGTTGGAGGGGAGGGCGGTTGTGCGGGTTGTGGATGTGGAGCCGCTGGTTACGAGGAGTGCGCCGGGGAGTCCGAGGATTGGGGCGAGTGTGCCAAGTCCTGCGGTGGTTCCGCAATTGCCGACGAAGGAGGAGGGGAGGAAGGGGGAGTGCGCGAAGGCGTTTGGGGCGGCGTTGGAGGAGAGTATGAGGAGTTTGAGTTTGGGGAAGAAGTAGGCGGGGCTTGCTCGCTTTGCTCTTGCTCTCGCTTTCGCTCGATTCGCCACCACTCCGACCCGACACTCCGACCACGCCCATCGACATCGATATCTGTTTTTCATCCATCTCATTCCGCGCGACACGCATTATTACATGCGCCGACGACGACACACTCTCCTTCATCATCTGTTTTGTTTCTCTCCCTCATCCTCGACTCATCTCCTCGACTCATCCTCGACTCCGACTTGGCCATCGACTCCGATTGGAATTTGGACGCTATCGACTACTTGTTTTTGCGTATCCTCGATATAATATAATCAAATCAATCCGACTCTCATCTTGAAGCGAGACGGCGGCGGCGACTCGCCCTCGCCCTCTCCCCCCTCTCCTGCGTCCGCCTCGGCGTCGGCGACTCGATATCCCCGACCCCGACCCCGACCTCGGCCGACTTGGCTGCGGCCGCGTCACCCTCCGGCGTGTCATCGTGCTTACGTCCCATGCCGGGGGCGTCAGCGCGATTCGTCATGTATGTGGTTTGCGCGCCGTTCAACCGGGGCTGTGGCGTGGTACACGCAGCGCAGGGCACCATCGCATCGTGTATCGTGTACCGTTTGATCATCCCAACCCCAATCTCACCCCAATCCCCACCCCAACCCCAGCTCCATCTCGTTTCGTTTTTCGTTTTCCCTTCGTTTCCCGATTTGTTACCGATTCCGGTTGATAGTTACATAGCTGACTGAGATGTACATATATATAGTAGACAGAAAGGAAGAAAGAAAGATACGGCTAGTACTTGTAGTGTTTTTGGATAATTGAATCGTTTAGCTTACTTTTGCTGCAGTGTGTGATTTCGAGGGTCCTCGGTGGAGTTTAGTCCAGGCTATCGGCGCGCGCCAAAGAACGTGAGTACGTCTAACCGGACATGGCCAAAGTACGGGGTTGTGAAGCCTTGAGGAGGCCGAGCCTGGTTAATGAGGAGATACCCGATGCACCGAGGCACGTTGAAGCGGGGTGGTTTGAACGTTGCGCACGCGCAGGACTCGTTGCAACTTGCAGGCAGTTGAAATAACGTCGTGATCCAGTGGGTGTGTTATTGGGCATGCGCAGAAAACCGGTATGCCCTCGTGGATAAAGGATATCACCTCCTTCTATTGTCGTGTTTGAGTACAGGGTTGAAAGTAAGGAGGGGATGCAGGTTCGATTCCTGCCGAGGGCATGCGCATCTGGGATCCTGATTTTTTTGGTTCCTGTGTCTAAATTTCAGAGCTCAGAGCGGAGAATTGATTTTTTCTTCTTCTTCAAGTTGGTCCCCGATGGTATCGACGAAGCAAAAGAAACCTGATCACGGGCTTGGATGCGGAACGGCCCGGTAGAGTTGACGGACAAAGAAGGGAATAATGTGAAATCCAGGCAGAGATCCAAGCAGAGAAGAGTATCGCAAGGCAAGAAAGTCGCTCAGTGCCATTCCCAAAATCACTGCCACCCCGGCCCAGTACTTGTGCCAGCCTCCAAGATCGGAG